TATTGGTTCTTTTGGCAGTCCATGGCACTTTCAGTATTCTCCTCCAACACCACAACTCAAAGGCATCAATTCTTCTACGATCTTCCTTATTCACTTTTGCATCCATATGAGGTTATTAAAAATACCTCATTGAAAATCTACTTCATCATCTCCATCACTGCTGTCACCAAGTACTCTGACGGGGCCTCCAAGGCAGCCGGGGTGTTTGGCTTCTTTGCCACTATCGTGTTTGCAATTGGCTTCTACTTGATCTTTAATGAGGTCGCCACATTCCTCAAACAAAGAGACTCCACGGATGAGACCCAGACAGGGACCAGATGCTTCCACCCAACGTGGTCGGAAGACAGTGACAAAGGAGGAGGACTTATTGCCTCCCAGGTGAGACCTTCCCCACGAGTCACCTGGCCACCACACCAGCGCTCCCTGTCGTCTTCGCAGCCCATGTTAGGTGGGGTCAACCAACTTAGAGACCCACAAGCCCAGCCCAAAGCGTCTCACTCCAACCCAGTCGCCCCTGCTGCACTTCTGCCTCTTGATTGACATCTGAGGACAGAAATCCCACTTTTGAGCCAGACTTAAGGGCCCTAGCACAAGGAGATTCCTATTTAACAGCAACCACGCAACCGCCACTCGTCTGTCTGTCGTGCTGTGGTGGTTTGAATTGCTGTGATTCTGAGGGCTATGCCACCGGTATTTTAAATAACCAGCAGGGTCACCCATGGTGGACAGGTTTCAGATACGCTTTCAAACAAAGACAGACTAGGAAGAAAGTGACAAACTACTTCCGAATCGCTAGTCACTGAAAACTCTATGAATAGCAGAGAAACGCTGTCATATACAGGACTGGAAAGTGGGAAGGCACTCAGAATGCGACTGGGGCAAAAAATGCCTTCTCCAAGTAGAGAAAAGCTCACAGAACCTTCATTTGCTAATGGGCCACAAATCAAAATTGCTTATGTAGAAACGGCTAAAAGTCATCATTGCTGTGACATTCTTGTCTTTTCTTTCACTCACCACCTCCTCTGATTGCTCAGCACTCTCATGACAAGATTAAATGCTAACTTTCTTGGCAGCGCTTGAAGTGGAAAAAGGGTAGGCCATGCAGAGCTGGCGAGCCAGCTGTGTTCCTGATCAGTGATCAGCAAAAAGGAAACGTGACCAGAAGGCGGGGCGGCCCAGGAAGCGGAAGTGCAAACCGCTACTCACTGTGTTTCCTCCATAGCCACCGGCTTGATGTAATAGTCGCTGGAGTAGAGGACCACATTGGCCACTTGTTCCACTGCAAAAGAGGAAGGGGTGGGATGAGTCAGTGCCGGTCCCTCCAAACCATCCACCAGCTGTCTGTTTACAGACAACATTGTCCTCAATGGACACCATTTTCCCCTGCTTCTCAGATTTACTTTGTTTAGCCTACGACTTAAATGCAGTGATGTCCAGGATCTGTCCTCAGGCATCTGTAAATCAGTAGCTCGCAGAGCCCTGTATTTCCAACTCCCCATGGGACAAAGACAAACCATCGTCTGGCTCTGACTCTCTTTCTCCAAACCCAGGCTGCTTCCAGCATCCCCTTATTTAATGAGCACACTCCTTCTGGTTCTCTCAGTAGAAAGGACCTGAAATTGACATGGCTTGATTCCTGGGTATATCCTGGAGGACAGGAAGATGGGATCTGGAGCCAACTTCAGAGTAGAGCTACACTCGTTCCGTACGCTTCTCGATGGCTGTTTTTCCAGAAGTAGACTGCCATGTCTTTCTACAGAGGTGCCTCTGGATGAGTTCAAGGCTCCAACCTTTCAGTTAGCTGCTGAGCTCATCCATCAGTATTAGAAAAGTCTAGATTATTCTTGTTCACGTTAACGTGACTGAATACCCATTTGCACCAACCGGAGAGTGCAAAGCCAGGCTTGTTGTGTGCCATCGAGTTGATTCCAACTCAAAACGACTGGAGTTTAGCTGTTAACTGTGGGGTCAGTTCCTGTGAACCTCAATTTCCCAATCAGCAAAATGGGGGTATTTTCTGAGAGGGCTAAGAAGATGACCTTAAATCTTTAACATCATGTTCGAGGGCAAAAAGAAACAAGCATTGGATGGTGCCCATCCTATAGAAACCTGGTAACCTTTTGTTTCAGAACTTCATAAGCTTCTTTAACAGGTAAGTAGAATTCATGTGACGATTCATAACACTTTCAAGAAATAATTTTATAACATTATGATACTTTATCAATCTACTTTGTGGGCCATTTTATTGAATACTACCTAGGAGCTCTGGTAGCACAGTAGCTACAAATCGGGCTGCAAACCGCAAGGTCAGCAGTTCGAAACTACCTGCTGTTCTGCGGGAGAAAGAAGGAAAGCTTTCTGCTCCTGTAAAGACTTACAGCCTCAGAAACTCTGTACAGGGTCGCTATGAGTCGGAACAGACTCCACAGCACATAACAACGACAACAACCTAGTGGTGCTGTAGGATAAGCACTGGACTGCTAACCACAAGGTTGGTGGTTCAACCTACCAGCTGCCCCTGGGAAATTCTATACAAGTTTGTGATGAGTCCAAACTGACTCAAAGGTACTTAGCAACATCAGACAAACATGCTGAATAGTTTCAGGTTCTATGAAGGCACGAGATGAGGTAATGTTTCCTTCTGTTGTACATTGACAGTCACTGAGTCAGAACTGACTAGACACCATCTAACAACACAAAGGCCTAAAAAAATCTCACAGCCGTGGAGTTGTTGCCAGCCTATAGCAACTCCACGGGACAGAGTAGAACTGCTTCATAAGGTTTCCAAGACTGCAATGCTTTGTGGAAGCAGACTGCCTCATCTTTCTCCTGCAGAGTACTAGTAGATTCGAAACACAGCCTTTTTGTTTAGTGGCCCAATGCTTAACCCACAGTGCCACCAGGGCTCCACAAAAGCCTGTGTTGTTGTTAAGTGTTGTTAAGCCATCGAGTTGGTTCCAACTCATAGAGACCCTGTATAGCATTTCTAAGGAGCAGCTGGTAGGTTTAAACCACCAACCTTGAAGCTAGCAGTTCAGTGCTTATCCTATAGCACCACACCAGGACTCCCCTCAAAAACATATAAATGAAGCCAACACAAAACAAGTTAGACTGTTGAAATCCAGCGTTCCTATAAGGTTCCTGGGTGGCAGAAATGCTTTGTCTTCTCCTGGCAATTAAGAGGTTGGTGGTTTGAACTCACCCAAGATGACAGCCAAGAAAACCCTAGGGAGCTGTTCTACTCTGTAACATACGGGTTACCATGAGTCAGAAGAGTCGGTGGCAGTGGGTTTGGTACTTAGATTTTTATTAGCAACAAGAAAATCTAGAATTTTCTAGTATGCATACTCCAAATTCCTGCTCCTCGCTTATGATGGGTTGGCAAAAAAAAAAAGAGGAAGCTGGTGTATGACCTATGATGTCCAGCCAGCACCAGATATCCCAACTCCCTCTAAACATCAGTCCTGGGCCAACAGGGGGCACTAGTCACCCTGAGACATTAGCCATGGTATTTTCAATAACCTCATATGGATGTCAAAGTTGGACAGTGAATGAGGAAGATCGTAGAAGAATTGATGCCTTTGAGTTGTGGTGTTGGAGGAGAATACTGAAAGTGCCATGGACTGCCAAAAGAACCAATAGATCTGTTTTGGAAGAAGTGCAGCCAGAGTGCTCCTTAGAGGCCAGGATGGCTAAGCTTCGTCTCTCATACTTTGGACATACTGTCCGGAGGAAACAGTCGCTGGGGAAGGATGTCATTCTGGGTAAGGTGGAGGGTCAGAGAAAAAGAGGAAGACCCCCAACGAGATGGATCAGCCAGGTGGCATCATTGATGGCGTCAAGTGTGGCAGCGGTAGTGAGGTTGGCCCAGGATCGGACATTGTTTCGTTCTGCTGTGCATGGGGTCGTTATGAGTCAGTTCCGACTCGATGGCACCTGACAACAACAACAAAGTAAGAAGGGGTTTCCAAAAGTGGAAAAATGGACTTAAAAGGTAATGGAATTTTTCCGTGGATTTTTTGAAGTCCTCTTCCATAGACTCTATGGCATTGCCTGGCTATTTAAATGTTTGAGTGGAAGTAAACCTAGAGATCACCCTCCGAGGTATTCCATTGCATCTTTGTATGTAGCTCGTACTTTGGTTTCTATACCATTTAAACAATCACTTCCATGCACCATGCTTCCAAGCACTCTGCTGCTAAACTGATAGGTCGGTGATTCTAACCCACCAGATGATCTTTGGGAAAGGCTGCAGGAATCTGCTTGCAGAAGGATTCTTGTTGTTGTTAAGTGCCATCAAGTAGGTCCCAACTCATAGCAACCTTGTATAGGGTTTCCGAGGAGTGGCTGGTGAGTTTGAATCATCTACCTTGTGGTTTAAACTGACCTTATGGTCAAGCGCTTATCCTACAACACCACACCTGAAACATTACAGTCTAAGAAACCCTATGGGGGTAACTCTACTCTGTTACACGGGGTCACTTTGAGTTGAGATCTACTGGACAGAAGCCAGCAACAGCTCTACTTCGATGTTTTTCAATCTGAGAAAGTGTGTAGGGAACAGCCAGCAGGAGGTGCTACCAGCGAGGCTGGGCCACTTAGTTAGGGAGGCTCAAGACCCAACATGAGCTTTTACCTCATGCGAGACACACTCACTTACAGGCTTGCAAGGCCTGAGAAAGGTGGGCAACGAACTACTCTTGGGCATAGGAGTTAGGACTTCCAGAGGCCAAGCCCGAAATGAAGTCCGGAGCTATGAACTAGTGTCTTTCCTGTTACACAATGCTGCATTGGCAAACAAAATCTATCCCTGATCCCACACGGAAACCCCCTTGGCTTCCCCTGCAATCTGGCAGGGAGTCCCCTCTAGGGAGGCATGAAGTGGAAAGACAGGAGATCACGCACCAGTCAAGGATGTTACACTAAGACAGAATCCTCACAGTTAACATGTTCATCTGTTAACCCAGAGGTTGGAGGTTTCGAGTCCAACCAGAGTACTTTGGAAGAAAGGTCTGATGATTTACTTCCAGCAAAATGAGCTCTTATCACGTGACCCTAACCAGAGAAGCTGTGACATCAGAGATGGAGACAAAGATGAAGACACAGAGAGATAGAGCAGCTGAGGACTCTAGACTCATGGAAAGAGAAAGGCTGTATATTGGCGACCAGGAGGCAAGCTTGCAGAATGTACCCTTTGGTTGTTTAAACAATTATATATTTCTGTGTGTTTTGTGTCCATGAAAATAAAAAGAGGGAATAGAGGCAAATACTGTTAACCGATGGCACATGGAGGGGATTGTAATCATTGCAATGAAGTAAAATACAATTGGTTGACAGCAAAACTGATGTCCTGCCAGATAAACTATCACTCAATTCACAATAAAAACTTTTTTTTTGAAAAGGCATTCGCAATGAAAAAAAAAAAAAAGAACTCTTAAAGGTCCTATGGAGCACGGTATTATTCTGACATGGGGTCACCATGAATTGGGGTAAACGCCGTTACAACTGGTACAATGGCCATAAACTAGTGATGTTGTTGATCAGCACTGGACTGCGAACCACAAGGTTGGCAGTTCAAACCCACCAGCTGCTCCTAGGAAACACTTTATGGGGTCACTATGAGGTCGAATCAACTCAACAGCACTTAACAACAACCACAAGTTGGATGAGATGACGCTTGCAAGGTCTTGTTCTGTCTACAACAGCTGAGACACATAAACAATTCAAGCGTCCAGAAGGGTGTGGCCCTTGGGAAATAGGAGCAGAGTGAGAGAATCGAGAAGATTCTGCCCTGTCCTGTGGAGAGAAGGGTCTTACCCAACACTTTAATCTTCTTCACTGTTTTCTCTGTGTTGTTGGTCACAGTCACTGTCACAGGGATGGGTTCTCCATGGAAATAAATCTGAAAGAGTGAACACATCAGTCAAAGGGGAGAGAAGAGTGTGGCTTCCCAAGTTCTTCATCTCACTCCCTTTAACTAGATAAAAGTGTCAGTAACAGCATTTCTTTAGAGAAAGATCTGGAACATGCTCTGTCCTGTAAAAGTCGGTGGGATGCTAATGAGGATAAGGGTGAACAAGGTGGGGCCAGGGTGCTCCCAGCCTGGGACGCCGAGCTTTAGGAGCCATGTTAGGGTCAGCAGTGGGGCAGGAGGGGGAGGTCTTGAGTAGACTCAGAAAGTTATTTGAGGCAGGAGTGAAATGAATGGAGGCCTTTGGGAAAGCCCGGCATCAGAGTCTGCAGCAGCGTCCTCTAGACCCAGGCGGTGCATCCTTGTACATGCATCTGAGCTCATGTGCACACGCGCACACACACACACAGTACGTTGAGTTCTGACCGAGACGTGTGCATGACTGCTGGTAGCCGGAGGGACTTGAACCAATGGCTCTTCTCCCTTTTCCATCATGACAAGTAAGATGTTGTTGTTAAGTGCCATCGAGTCAGTTCCAACTCATAGTGACCCTGTATAGGGTGTCTGAGAAACGGCTGGTGGGTTTGAAATGCCAACCTTTGAAGTTAGTAGGTCACTGCTTATCCTACAGCACCACACCTGGACTTATTATTGTTAAGTGCCATCAAGTCAGTTCTGACTCATAGAGACACTGGATAGAGTTTCTGAGGAGCAGCTGGTGGGTTTGAACTGCCGACTTTGTGGTTTGCAGTCCTATGCTGATCCTACAGCTCCACACCAGGACTCAGAGACAACAGGAATTTTGTAAAACATACCATTTTTCAGGAAAGTAAGCAATTTGTAACAATCATACTACAAAGTCCCTGGGGGGTGCAAATGGTTAATGCACTTAGCTGCTAAACAAAAAAGCTGGAAATCTGAGTCCAGCCAGAGGGGCCTCCGAAGAAAGACTTGGTGATCTCCTTTGGGTAAACCTATGGAGCACCAGTGTACTCTGACACACATGGTTCACCATGAGTTGGAATTAAACTTGACAACAACTGGAGCTATTGCTACTTTAACAAACAAGGCCCCCAAGGAGGAAAGAAGGCAAAGATAGGGATGTTACACAGGGGACGAGAAAGGAAAATACCACTCTTTCTCTCCCCCAGGCTAACAGACAACCAGGGAGTAGGGTGCAAATGAGGTTGATACCACTGGAGGGAAAGGATAGACAAATACCAGTTATGAAGAGCAGCGCATGCTCACCATCTCTGGGGCTTATCCCAAGAAACAAGACTACATGCAACCAGGGGAAGCTGGCGAAGAGCCGGGTGCCAAGCTCTGTTCCCAGACCTGACTCCTTATGGGTCTGACCATGATGTGGCTGCCTCCTCTGGTCCATACTTACCTCTTTGCTGAGGAAGACTGCTACGTGCAGGGGCTTGTCCGACATCAAGAACTGCCAGGCCACCTCGGCTCGGGGCTGGGGGCCCATCTCAGACGGTGCATGCTGGATCTTACGGATCAGCAGACGCACAGAGCTCCTGTGGACAGAAAGGTACAGACACGTCCTGAGATTCACCCTCGGCTGTCTCAGGATGGCTCTTCCCCGTCTCTCTCCCCATATCCATACTGGTATTCTTCCGGAAGGTTCTCAGTGAAGACTAATGAACTAGAAGAACACTGGGACAAGCGTCGGAGTCGGAACAGCCCAGTAGTTTCCAGGTCCTTCCTGGCTGTGTGATGGAAGACATCCTGCTCCCCAGCATTCATTTTATCCTGTCAGGACCCGGCTCTGCCTCGCCTGTTCCTCACTATGCAGCAGCTGGTGTGTGAATGTGTCGGATGTCTTATGTGAATGTATTTCAAATTGCTATCAAGCTGATTCCAACTCATAACTACCCTAGAGGACAGAGTACAACTGCCCTGCAGGACTTCCAAGCTGTCATCTTTACGCAAGCAAATGGCCACATCTTTCTCCTCTGGTGGGTTCGAACCGCTGACCTTTCAGTTAGCAGCCGAACGCTTAACTACTGCACCACCAGGGTTCCGTGAACATGCTTCAAAGTCCTGTGTAAACACCACACACTTATTATCACTTATTACCCCAGGCTTATCTCAGAGATCTTGTGGGTTTGGTTCCAGACTTCTGCTTATAAAAGCTACGTTGAAACTCGACTGCGGTCTGTTGTTGTTCAGTGCTGGGGGCAGATGTTGAGAGCACATTTGGAAATCTGGTTTGGGTGCAAGAAGAAAGCTGAAGAAAAGGAATCTGGGAGCTGACAGGGGTTGATGGGAGCCCTTGAAGTACGACTCACTAACACCCTCTCCCCCCAGTGTTCAGCCACTTGACTACATCCCATTTGTAGAAGGTTCAGTCCCTAATTGTCCTGACTTGGGGAGGCTCCCTCACCTCAGGTCATGCTGGCCCTATATAAACTGTCCTGCCACTCTGAGGTCAAGTGAGGGGCAGTTCCTCATCTCCACCTGCTGGCCCCCCAGGACCCCACATCTATGCCCACAATCACTCTCTTACTTTTGGGGAATTTTGTCCTCTTCGCCATCTGTGCTGTCGGTGGCAAATGCTTTGACCTCAAAATCGACCCCACAGGACTGCGGGGGCAAGAGAACAGACAGAAGAGTGGTCAGCGGTCCCCTTCCCGGCAGAGGCTTGGGGTAGAGGGCGAGAGGGAGGTTCTGCCATCTTGCATTGTTTTAATCATATTGTTTAGGGCTGAACCACTGAAACGAGAGTCTGAAGTGGACTGATAATGAAACCAAGATGTTAGGACGCAGAGAGGGCCTAGGCTCAAAGACCCCAGAGAAGGGGATTCAGAATGGTGGGTGGAGTCCTCCAGTTCCCAGAGACTGAGACTCACTGCTCCCAGTGTCCATTCTGTGGACCCCCCACCCCCTGCTAACACTACCACAGCTCACACTCTTCATGGGCATTTTAATTCTCACTGCCCACAGCAGGGGTGACAGACCCTCATAGGGCTGGTGGGGGAGGGGAGCCATCGACAGGACAGGCACCTGCTGTTCAGCTGTAGTAAGCATGGGATGGTAAGAGGGAGGACCCAGTGCTGAGGCCTCCCCGCCTTTGAAAACAAGCTGGGGAGAAAATATTCTGATTTTTAAATGAACTCAACAAAAATCATTGAAACATGGCATGGATCCAACAAAGGCATCTGTGGGCTGCCTCCAATCCCCAGGGTGGGGGTGTTTCTCTGCGTTGAGTGCCAAGCCCCCCAGCACTTCCCTGGTGTCTCCCCAGAAGCATAATATGTGGGGTGGGGGCATAAGAGGCAGGGTATGGGCCTGCCTGTCACCAATTGACTAGAGAGAAAAGTGTCATCGACAAAAGTCCGTATAATCCCCTCTGAAGATGGATAGAGAAACCACGTGCTGGGATTTCTGCAGCCCCAGAACCGCGGCTACTCTAAAGTCTCAATCGAATAGACAGACACTCAACATTCAACAAGCATGTGCCCAGGGAGGAAGGCGGGAAGGGAGAGGAAACTTGGAGGAATGGGAATGGGAAGCGCAGGCAGGAAGTGGGGTTGTTACTTTGTAAGGATTGTAACTGACGTCACCAATCAAAAGGTGTCTGAATTGTGGAATGGAAAACCAACTAGGTCTGTAAACTTGCACCCAAATCACAGTAAAAAGTTAAAAACAAGTCAACACACATAGGCATCCTTCAGTAACGCTGCACCTGAGCTCTGCTCACTCACCTGGTTTCTGCCCTCGTCTACCACGGTACAATCCAGCATATTCCAGTAGGTTCTGGAGTGTTCCAGGCAAACCTGCTCCCTGGGCATCCCGTACACTTCATCATTCTACCCTGGACAAGTGCTATTCAAAACGCCTGTCCCCTTTGTCCCTGTTTGACAAACACTATCATGATCCTTTGAAAACTTGTCACTTCTTTGCTCAGAACCCATCAATGGCTTCCAGCTCAGAAAAAAGCCCAAGTCTCTATGTTGCTGTTGTGAGGTGCCATCAAGTCAGTTCTGACCCTTAGCAACCCTACATACAACGGAACGAAACACTACCAGGTCCTGTGCCAACCTCACAACTGCTGCTACGCTTGAGCCCACTGCTGCTGCCACTGTGCCGATCCATCTCGTTGGGGGGCTCCCTCTTTTTCACTGACCCTCCACTTTACCCAGCATGATGTCCTTCTCTGCTAGGTCCCTCCTGAAAATTTGTCCAAAGTATGAGAAGAAGTCTCGCCATCCTGCTTTCTAAGGAGCATTCTGGTCATAGTTCTTCCAAGACAGATCTGTCTGTTCTTCTGGCAGCCCATGATACTTTCAGTATTCTTCTCTAACACCGTAACTCAAATGCATCAATTCTTCTATGATCTTTCTTATTCATTGCTCAACTTTCACATGCACATATAGAGGTCTAAAACATGCTCCTGGCCACCCTTCCTCTGACCATTGACCTCAGCTTCTATTAGGCAGCCCATGATCCTCCCTGCTCAAGCTCACCCTCCTCCTTGCTGCTAGTGCCAATGCTGCCTCTGCCAGGAGGTTCTCCCCAGGAAGAGCACGGCTGTGCCCGGCTCCTCCTGCCTCATGTCACGGCAGGAGAGAGACGTTCCTAGAACATCCGGAGCAAGCATCCCCACCTCACGAGCCTTGGTTCCCACCTGCTGCATTGTGTCGATCCCTGTTTGGTTTTGGGCTGTTGTTCTAGGTGAACGTGTGAAATTCAAGATGGTGGGGGGCCTGGTGCTTTGTTCACGAGGCTGGTCATGGTTAAGAATTAAAAGGTTAAGTGATAGATTCCTGAATGCTCATTATACCGGTCCCTCTCCTTCTGTGTGCGTTGGAAATTTTCTTTGATTATAAAGCTATTTTTAAAAGTCTATTGAGAGAACACACCAGATGGCGGATTGGGTGGCCGTGCAGTGAGGAGCTCTGTCAGCAACAACACAGAATACCGGACCAAGCAGGCTCAGGGGATGGTGCCAGAACTCTGAACCACATATAAAGGAATATTTAGAAGGTTGGAAGGCTAAAAGCTAGGGGAATTTGTAGCAGAAGCAAGAAATCCATTGATTTCTAATCCAAGATGCTCAGCTGCTCCTGGAGCCGCCATCTTGGGCGAGATCAAGCAAGGGAAGGATGCCTGACAGAACCACATAGATAAAGGTGTAGACATTCTTTTTCTTTTGGTGTCTGTTCATTGATCTCTTGCTGTCTGTGCACCTCCATTATGGTGATTAGAGGGGGTGCCAGAGTGAGTGGACACCTCACCTTCACCCCCAGAGGGTCCTACTACGCATGTGCACAGATCTCCTCAAAATTTAAAGAGACAGTTTCCACTTAAAACCAAACGGCAGCGCAAAACAGCCACAGCCAGCCCTGAACTGTTTATCACTAGGAAAAGGCCTGAACGGGGATTGTGGAGTGGAACAGGCAGACTAAAAAGGAAACAGGCCAAAAATTAAATTCTGAATTACTTCATAACTTCATCTTGAAATTTCTCAGGAAGAAGAGTGAAAAGGGAAGCCCATCTCCTGATCACTTCTACCTAGAGGCAATCAGAAAGCATAAAAAATACCAAAACACACATCCATCTAAGTATTAAAGCCATAGCTAACCATTGAATATGCCCCCAAACAGAAACAGACGACAGCACATGTCCAGAAACAAGATAAAATGACTGAGACAAATGAGTTGGAAGTAGATCTACAATCCATACTGGTAGGAGGGCAGGCTTTGGAAATGCCTGAGAAGGAATTCAGAAAAATGAAAATAAGGAAGAAGTCAGGAAAGTGCTACAGGAACAATCAAATAAGATAGACACAGCATTGGAAACAATTCAAAACCTACAGAAAGAGGTCCAAATGATTAATAATAGAATGTCAGAAATGGACAATACACTGAAAGGGCAACAAGGATAGAATTAAAGAGATGGAAGCCAGAACTAGTGAGCTGGAAGACAAATCTCTCAATACCACAAAAATCGAAGAACAAGCAGAAAAAAGGATTTAAAAAATCTGAAGAAGGTCTAAGATTCATATTGGACAACATGAAGAGGAATAATTTAAGAATTACTGACATTCCACAGAGAAGATAGTTGAAGAACTTCTGGAAGAAAAACAACAACCAGAGATTGACGTGCATGGCAGCATCGCCCGGAAGTCAAACGAGAAATGGAGGAGTCAAGAACAGAAAAAAAACTCTCAGAGCAAATTCAGAGGATCTGGGAGGTCAGTCTATAATCAAAACAATTACAATGTGAAAGAAGGTAAACACAGAGGAACAGAGATCTAGGTTGTGGGAAGGTCTGGTAGATCACAGGATAAAATAGACTGTCTTAAATGGAGAGAAGAGCTAATGGACTATAAGGTAACCACAATGGTGAGGTTGGGGTTGGGGGTTTCGGGGGAGATGGAGGGAGGCGATGGAGCACAGGGTAAGGGCAGACACATCATGTTTGCGTGTTGGGGAAGGCAATACAAGAAGGGGGAGGAGGTGGAAGAACAAGATAGATAGGGGAATACTGAGACAGGTTTACATGGGTTAAGTGGGACAGAGGTAAATAGTGATGCATGCTCAACCTTGGAACAACAGGGCTCTGTGATACAGGGATCTAGGCATAGTTTAG